ATTTTGTCTGCAGTTTGTGTCGATGTCCAGCAGCCAAATGACCACAGTCTGAGTTTCGGAACGTTCTCTCAGTGCTAAACTTCTAAAATGTGTCTGTGACATCACTCATTTAAACTGTTGTCACAAACAAGCTCTCTTTGAAAGACGTTGGTTACTGTTGCCACATGATGAATCTAATGGAATTCTGAGTTGCTCTTATTAAGGTAAATGGGCAATAAACACTGAGGAACCCTCACTGTATACATATATACATACAGCTGTATGAAAACAGGCTCCTCTGTTCAACTGACATGTTTTGTTCATTTCCTAAGTGAAAATAAGTTCAGGTGTTCAGTCAAGTGGTCTTTGTTGTTATTCCTCTATATAATTTGTGTACATTGTAATGAAATGTGGTCCTTTAGGCCCCAAACACACAACAGCAGCACATTATGCAGAACCATAAAGAGTAAAGAGACACAACAGAGTAAAACGAGTGCAGAATATGCAGTGAATCTTCAAGAGGGTAAACATTAGACAACATAACAATATATGTGAATTAGCATTAGATACACTCCTAAAATTATGGTTCTTCAGGATTTCTTTAGTAAACAGTTTTTTTATTGTTACAAGCTTGACATGGATCAGCAATAGCAGAATGCTTTTTGGTGCTGTATAGAATTAATTTTTCAAAATTGCATGACAGAGTACACAGTGATTCAGAGTGGTTTGGTGTAAAGTGGCTGATTGAATAGACTCATTTTATTTACTATCCAAAACCACCAGTGAACCTATGTGTTTTCTGAGTTTTATATATAAGATGATGATGATAGTAAAATAGTAATAAATCTAAAAAAAATCGATTTCTTTTTGGACTAATGGGCCTTACAAGACCCTGCATGAACAATAAATAGCTTTTTAAAAATATGTTTTGGGCTGAAACCTTATTGCAAAACAATAAAAACAGTGTCTCAGACATCAGGCAGTGTATTCATAACCATTTCATGTAATAACTTTCTGTGAGGGAGCTTTTAGAGGTGGATGTCTGGTTCCCATCATCACCACTGTGAACATTTCTGACAACTTATTTTGTTTTGGAACTCAGAATATTTTCTAGAATATTTTTTAACGTCTCTGGATGGTGAATTTGCACAACAAAACATTTGTTCTTGAGGAAATATCGATGTGATGCTGTCTTTGCAGGCTATTTTAAGCTGAAGGCTGGCGGCTGGTTCGGTTCTTCTTGAATTCTCGTGCTTGAGGCTGATGACTGTTGCTATAAAAGTCAAAAATATAAGTTGTACATTAGATGTCATTCATAGGGTGAAGTATTCATGTCATACTGATGGCAGGTTTAATAACAGCTTTAATAGCTTTCTTAATCTACATCGCTCAGGTAGAGCGTTGCTGTTGATTCTTAATGGCCACAGATTGTCTGTCCTGTTCATTTTCTTTGATCTGTTGGAGGGACAAAATGACAAAGATTAACCAACTCAAACATTTCTGACAAATATATAAATTCATTTTACAGTGCACTGTAAAAAATGGCTCATCAGATCAACCTAAAAATGACTAAGTGGTAACAAGTAACTGAACTAGTTTTAAAAATTACATTGATTGAAAGAATCATTTATTCAAAGTATTTACATTGAATAAAACTAGTTAATTTACTTGTAACCAGATGAAGTACTTTTTTTAGGTTGACCTGACGAGCCATTCTTTACAGTGTACAGAAAAATCACAGGGTTGAATTAACTTACAGCTGAATCTCCTCTTGCAAAGTCTAACAGGGGGGCCGAAGCTTCCGTCTCCTGGTTTACTGCTTCACTGCGGGCTGAATTATTGGACTTTGGAATTAGACACCTGAAATTTCGAAAAATGAACATATTTATTATCATCGAGATCAAACAAAAACAAAAACTAAACATTTCCTGTGTTTTAGCAAAGTTAGGCTAGGTTGTAAAATGTATGCAATATATATAATATGTGTAATATTGCATATAAATCTAATTTGTGTAATATTTTCTGAACTTTTTTCTTCAGTGACCTTGATTGTTTCAACCATTTGCTCATTTTAAATATAGTAATGTAAATCAGTGTATACGCTTTGTGCTGAAAAGCTCTTTATGGTTATTATATTAATTTTTTTTTAGGAAAATGATTTAATATTTTAGGAGCCATCGTGCAGAAATCCAAGTAGTTCAGAGAGTTATGTTTCCTAGTAAAAAGCCTACCAACAATAACAGTTTTGGCCTAGCAAGACTCCTTATCACAGTTAATCATTCCTTATCAGTTTTCTCCCAACTACAATGTCCATAGCTTGCTCAGCTAACCAGTTACATTTGTTCCTGATTTTACTTACTTTAACTTTAATTTAATTTGATGTTAATGTTTTCCACTACCTTTAAGTAAATACCTATAATATCACATGCTATAATTAACGCAAGAGAACGTGTCATATTTCACAAATATTGGACTTTATTTATTCATTTTATGAACAAACCATGACATAATAGTAGCCTGACCTGCCATCAGGCTATAGCTATGTAACAGGCTAACTAGGCCCCTTCGGAAATATTCAGTTACAGAGTTTAAGTTTAAATTGAATTAATAATAGATCATTCTTTGATAAAAATGCTTAGAACTTTTAATCAATAACTAAAGTTTATTTATCAGGAAATGCAGCTTTTACTTTAAAAAAGACGTATAAAATTTTTTGTTATGACATCATAATTCAACTTTTATTATAAATACAGAAAAAAATTAACACAAATGAAAGTTTATCATTTGGTCATTTTAATTACAATTAAAAATGAAATAGTTATGCTAACATTACTATGGCAAACCGTTTCATGTTTTATGTTTTATGTATTTTAGACTTTTTTTGATCTTTGGAGTTAAGTAAGTGATCTGGACTGAGGAGGGTGAGTGAAATCATTTCTAAAGTCTACCAACAGATGGCGCTGCTGAACGAGCTCCTCGCTGCTGTGGTTCCGCCGCCGTCCCTGCAGGCGGACACTGAGGATCCTAAGCGCTTCTGCTGCTCAGAGCAATAAACACGGCGGTGCGTGTGGACGAGCAGCGAGCCTTTCCCTGAATAACTGTCACAAATAAAACCACACAGTATTCTCGCCTCACTCTATTCTGGCCTAATGAAGGAGCTTCGCCCTGACTGATCTGGGGAGATGGGAATACTAAGCATAACAGACCAGGTAATTCTGAAAAAAAAGCGCGAATTTGACATTTGCGCCGCATTTTTTGCTCCTTCGCTCTCTTTATCCCAGCTTGTCAAACGGGGCGGGTTTGGTGGTTAGCTAGCTAGCTAGCATATCTAGCCAGTGGCCTGCAACGGGACATCACAGGCATCACTGGGTTTCTCCCCCCGAGTCCTTATTTTTTTAATACCTTAGATATTTTGCTTATGAGCAGATTAAACACTGGTGTATGTGATTCCATGTTGTGTTAAAATATCGCTGCATTCGTTTAAGACGCTGGCTAGTTAGCGTTGGCTAACGTTACCTGTCTAAACAATTACATCAGCTAGCACAGTAGCGTTAGTACTATACTAGCTAGCTGGCTATATCAGACATTTAAGCTGTCCAGCTCACCCATTCCCGTCGTGATAGCAGTAGAACAGAGTGAATTACGTGTTTTGTTTTATTTCTTGTTGTATTATAGCTTAATTAGCTATAGGCATTTTCCAAGTCTTCGCCTAAAATTAGCAGCTAAACGTAACAACTGGGGCTAATATTAGCTAACTTAGCATAGAGGAGCCTGGCGTATTTGCAGCCTGGCTAATTTAAGTGTAAGTGATTTAGTTAGCTGGCTATTTCTATATCTTTGGATGTCGTAGTTACTTGTGCTTATGGCTGCAGTTGTACTCCGTCATGTTAGAAACTGGTCTCTTATTCGACAGATTCTTATTCGAATTTTCCGCTCCACCTTAAATGGCGCAGCAGTTGTACAGACGCTTGGAATGTAGTTAATTGCCGCAACATTTAAGCCATTTAAGGTGGGACGGAAAAGTCCAGGAAGGAGTCAGCTTCAGCTTTGTGCTTGGTACCTAATTTTGCAAACGTTAGTGTTTCTGGATTCATTTATCTGTAAGTAATAGAGAAACATTCTTCATCTACACTTAATATCTAATCAGGAGTAAGTTGGCCAGAACAAATAAATTCTAGTCTGTACTTGCTGAGAATGCTTGTGTGTGCCTCTGCTTCAAACTGCTGCACATGCACTTAATAACACACACTGTAATGCACATAACTACTGTCTGTGCCATAATCCTTCTGAAGAGCCTCTCCCACTTTTTGTAGTCAGTGCAGATATGCACTTTAACTTGTTGCAATCTACATATCTTATGTGTTTACGTTCACGTCACAATTTATATTTACTGCTCAACTCTCTTAGATCTACATACTCTATATATGTACCTCAGTACTCCAGTACTATACTGTATCTCCCATTGCACATCCTTTTTCTTGCAGTTTGTTTTATGTTTATATACAGTACATCTTTTTTTCTATATTCATTTTATCTGATTTAATTTTATGCACCAAGAGACATTCCTTGTACACCTGGTATTTGGCAAGTAAAGATTCTGATTCATGGAAGAGCATACGGCTGGCATATTTGTCAGACAAGTAGGTAATTTGGCATGGAAGCAGCAATGGAAATATGGATATACAAAATATAGTACTACTTTGTCTAGGAAGGGTATGGAAAACAGTTTTATTGTGTTTTAGTGATAGTTTTATTGCAGCAATAAGTAAATCCTGACGTCCATTTGACACTGGCCAGATTAAAGGGAAATTCCACCACATTCCTAAATGTCTGTGTAATTCAATGACAGTCAGTCAGAATGGTTTGATGTTAAACGGTTCACACCTCTGTGAACACCTCTGATTTTCTTGATGGTGATAGGAACCATAAGAGCAACGTCTACAACATAGATATTGACATTTACTATTCAGAGCCACCAGTGAACCTACACGTGTCTCCTGAGTTTTCATATGTTACATTGATGATGGTAAAATAGTGGTAAATCTGCAGAAATAAGTTTTGTTTGGGGACTATTTTGCCTCACAAAGCTCTGCATGTATCCCTCCACCATGACTGGGTAAAACTACACCTAAGGCCAAATTCTTATTGCAAATGTTTCATAAAACAATATCTCAGACAACAGGCAGTGTATTGGCAACCATTCCATGTGATAACTTTCTGTGAGGGAGCTTTTAAAGGCATCAAACTCTACAGATGTTTGGTTCCTGTCACTGCTGTTGTCAACAGTTCAGACTCTTAAGTTTCTTGTTTTTGAATTTCACATCAAACCACTCTGAATGACTTTATTTCTTAACCATTTAATTCTGCAGAAATGTAGAAAAATTGGTACCCCTTTAATTGTACAGTTTTTCGGGTAGTAATATTGGTAAATCTGAAAAATGTGTTTTCTTTGGGTACTACTTTGTCTTACAAATGTCCAAAATCTTCTCAAAAGCTATTGTTAAATAGTGTCTCAGACATCAGGCAGCATATTCATAACCACTTCATGTAATAACTTTCTGTGAGGGAGCTTTTAGAGGATTTTAATAAGTTTCTCCAGGATCACATCAAACCTGTAGATGTAGAAAATTTGGTGAAATTCTCCTTTACTGCAAATTGTACTGCCTGCAGAAAATTACCCAAACCACAGCACAGCAGCTGTTCTTTATTCAGCCAACCCACAGATATAGTGTTTTTTTTTTTTTGTTTTTTTTTAGCAGCAAAGTTTTTTCGCATGTTTGGATTCTTTCTTCGGTAACTTTTAAATGGTGGACGAAAAAAAAGTTAACACATAAATGATCATTGTTAGCAACCGTGGCAGTCAGCTTCCATTTAGCTTGTGTCTGAAATTAGTGTAGAACACGTTAATTTCTGTGTACTGTTGGAACCGAGAACTAAAGCATCTACAAATTACATTGCAAGTGGCATCACTGGGGTCCAGGCACTATTATGGTGACCCCAATAATTTTAGGGGTCATTTATGTTCAGTGTTAAAGTCGGATACGGATAAAGACAGAGCCTTCTGTCTGTGTGCTGCGTTGTGCATGTTCTCTGAAAGGTTATGGACACGGACGAAACGGAGTGGTACCACCGGAACTTCCGCAGGGGGGCAGTGTAGCCAATAGTTCTTGTGAGACACAATGCTAGTTACTCTCATTGGTAATGTAAGTGGAAAAAAATTTCCATCCACATTTCACAAAGTATTTTAATGGCCTCAAACACGCCATGGTCTACACTGGTGCCTCTTTCATCTCTTTTGTCGATGGTATGTTATTACAACCTCCTCCATCGTTGCCATGTTTGTTGTTGTCAGAATCGTTTCTCAGTGTTTACCCCTATATTTAAGTTTGAGGATGTTCTTGTTAAAATCACTTAAATGTTCTCCCAGGAGCGATGCAGCTGGACCCCCTACAGAGGACTGGTTTCTGAACTTGCCACCTTTTTCACCACTTACAAGTTTTTATTTCTGTACATGTTACAATGTTGCAGCCAACTCGAACGTCAGAAAAACATGAACAGGCCAGTTAGTGCTTTGTAGATGCTTCAGTTTACTTCATGTGATTGAAAATGGGGTTGTTACAGCACCATGCTTTCACGGTATATGATTGGACCTTTACATCACCGTTTACTTTTCTAATACCTCCACCTATTCCCATCTACTAGCTGAAGTTACATGAAACACTAATTTTTTTGGCTCTGCAGTCCATGCCTGCTGTAAACATGCTGCATTGCTAATTAGTAATATCACGCATGGCACCTACCAAATGCATAGAAAACGTGACTTTATGGGCCATAAATAAACCAAATGACAACTTTGTGAACACAGAATTTTGCTGCATCGTCACTCTAAACAAATGTATGTGAATAATTTTTGCGTCCTGTTTAGCGTAATTTAGCTAATAATCATGTAATGCAGATATGGATAAAGTTAGAAAAGGTAACAGCTTGGCTCAGAGTTGCACACCCAGCCACACAGTTGGAAGTCTTTTAACTCTGACAGAGTGAGAACCACCACCTTAAACAACACAGTGACCTACAAACATCTCAAGCTCTTAATGCTACTAATTAAATGTGCAAAGGGATAAAATCTTTTCTTTTTTTTTTTGATCGTTTCATACACTAGGATTTATAGTGGTACCTCACAAGAGAAAACAATTACTCTGTTTTAAGGATGAATAGATTGTTCGATACTGTTAAAGGATAACACCAAATAATGTGTTAAATTAAAAGCACGTGTGAGCGATGATATTAACACTTCATAATCATTTTTCCTTCAGTTTTCACCACCTTCTTGTGTGTTTCAAGTGGTGGCTTGATACCATAAACACTTTCAGACCGATTTCGCTATTTGAAGATTAAAAAATCTGATATATCCAAAATATATGCCAATATCCTAAAGAAATACATAATGTAAACAAAGATTTTCCCTAACATTTGTTTTGTGTAGTTATTTAAAAAGCCTCACCAAGATAACATAATGTTCAAATTTAACATTGGGATTTCACACTGTAGTGTTACAAACACAAACATCCGTCATATTATTGTTTAAAGAATTTAATGATTAACTGGATCACATGCGGGGGCATCTAAACATGCCGCGTTACTCATAACTATACAGGAACTCCTTTTTGAGACATGAATAACGTCACACAGTGTATCAGTGTGCTCTGCACTCTTAACAAAACAGTGCGGTTACAACACATGCACTACCCATTTCAAAGAGAAGCTAGATAACTGCCAAGCCTTGTTAGATATTTGATAAGACACTAGATACTAGATAAGTTGGCTTTCTGTTCGCAGCTTCTTGCTTCAGAGTTTTCTGTTACTACTGGTTAACTACTGGTGTAACTGCTGCACTATTTATGGTGGAACGGGAAAGTTCAAGCAAGAAGCTGACTTCAGCTTCGTCATTTAAGCTGAATAAGTTAAACACTGTAGTTTAACTGCTTATTAATGTTAGTTGTTTTTCACTGATAAACATAACAACATTTGCTAGATTTGTGGGTAACCTAATTTAGCAATGAACAGCGTTATAAGCTGCTGTAAGCAATGTTGCCAGAGAATTTTTCAAAGTGACGAGCTAGGGAAAAAAGATAGAACCGTTGGTTGTTTACTCGCTAGAGCTGACAGACTGTTTAATAAATAAATCTACGGTCATTTTTGTCAGCAGCTTAGCCTACAAAACTCAACTACTGTAACGTTAAACATAGGCTAATTCTGATGTTTACCTGACAGTACCGGTGTAATAACAATTTGTCCTGCCCATTGAGTGGTCCTACTGAGCATGTGCATATCGTTTATTATACCATAGTGATACTGTTGCAAATGTTTTATTGTGTTTTTAAAGTAAATTCAGTACAGACTCAGACTTAATATTATTACTCACTCCCTGAGGAGGTGATTTAGGCAGTCAAAATATCCTCATTATTCTTTTAATACTGGTAACGTTTTCTGAAAAGGAGATTTAGGCTGTCAAATTATTCTGCATTTTCAGTAAATGTACAGATTTCAGTGCTGGTAGCATTTTCTGACAGGGTAATTTAGACCATCAAAAGTTTTATGTACTACAGTTTTATGTAAAGTGCTACCAAAAATATGCAGTACGGTAGAACATTTTGACAAGGTAGCACAGTTCATCAGAACACCGGCTTTCACGTTACTGCAGCAAACACAGGCACGGCTGACAGAAATCTTGCCAGGCTTCTTTAGGCTAAGAAGAGAAGCAATGGGGACATTTTTGGTATTAATGAAGTAAAGTATTTCACGTGACAAATAGCATTACTCTGTTCAACTCTGCTTGGGTCAGCTGGTTGTTGTGATTTGTATCGTTCCAAACGGGGTGTTTCAGAGCACCCTCTGATGGACAAACTACGTGACGACAACACTCATAACATGTTGAAGTATCAGTCTTCTGCCTCTTCATTTCTCTTTTAGTTGTAATTTATCGGTCGTTATGAACAACTGTAGTGATTTATCTGCAGCTAGTTCATATCGGCCGATAATATTGACATGCTAATTTGTCAGTAATACTTTAGTTGTCATACTGCGAAAGTGTCAAACTGTATTACTCCTAACTGAAAACCATCTACTTTATACGTTAATGCTTCTACATAACCGAGTTTTGAGTACATTATTGAAAATTGTATGAAACAGGTTAAAGGCACTTTTTTCCTGTTACTTCGTCCACCAGAGGTCAAATTCAAGACAGTGATGTGCTAGAGCTGGACAAAATGGCCAAAAGAGTTATAAATCTTTTGTAACATATCCATTTCCAATATGTACAGGAACATTTAACTTTACACAGAATAAAGTATATTGTCATTGTGTTGTTTCTGGTCTGTTGTTTAAACTTACATATGCAACAACATGAACATTTTCTCTTTCAGACACCCCTGGTCCAGGCAATATTCAGCCGAAATGCAGAAGAGGTGAAGTTTTTGTTGCACAAGAAAGATGACGTTAATGCACTGGTAGGTGATCACATGATCAGCTAAATTATTCTGTAGCGCCTTTAAAAAGTTAAATGTGCACTGGGAGTGGAAGACAATCAAAAACGTGTTCAAATAATAGAATATCAATCATCAATGGAATCAGAATTTTCCCAAGTCGTTTTGGGCCGTTTCTTTTGGAACATTCATCATGAAATTGACACACAATGTAAAGACCAACAGGCATATTCAAATCATGTCAAAAACAGAAAAATGACAAAAATTACAGCTCCAAAAAAGTTGGGACAGTCTGTGAAATTCAAATAAAAACAGAAAGCAGTAATTATTAAATTCAGTTTGACTTCTGTTAGATTGAGAAGAGTTAAAAAATCAAGTATTTGCACAGCTTTCATGTCTGTTACCATAAAGACTCGTTCATTAAGTCTTCTGTTTGTTTCTCTGTTTTTAATGTTGTTAAAAAACTGCAAAGGCTGTCACTGAAGATAATCTGAAGAGGCACGCGTATCAAAATTAATTTACAAATGCCAGACTCAGCCAGGCTGATTATCAGTTGACCCTGAGTAAAGACAGCAATATGATGATAAATAGCCATGATAAGTTCATTGAACCACTAATTTAATACAGTTTTAAAGATTTCTCCAAATTTCACCAAATTTGCTATTAATTCCTCTCCAGTGAGCGACAGAGCTTTTATTGGAGGTATTTCTAAAGGCTTCCTTTTTGGCTTTTCCAGTGTTGTGGAATCTTTGAAATGCTTTGCACACCATGCTTTTGTTTATTTAAACGTATTTTTATTTTTTGGACTTAAGAAACACTTGTTTAGTTGTCCAAATAATCAGTCAGTTACTTGATTACTGTTGCAGTCGATGGTAACGGTCCTGCTGCTGTCTGATTCTCTGACATTAAAGGACATAAATTTTAAATATTAATGTTGCACAAATGTTTAGATAAGATGCAAAAGGTCAGATAAAATGTTAACCAATGGCTGTTTTTTGTTGCAGGACCAAGAACGCCGTACCCCTTTGCATGCTGCTGCTTGTTTGGGTGATGTCCGCATCATGGACCTCCTCATCAAATCAGGTACGATCAGAATGTCACTTTTTCTGTATTTCACAGTCAGTGTGTATTTCCTGTCAGTAAAATTTAATATCAAAGGGAAAAAACCTCTCAGGCTCTGTAAAGAAGTTAAAAACAAATGAAGTAGACCACCCAACATTCAACCAATCAGGACAAGGAGGTGTATCACCTTTCCTGTCGCAGTTACGTTTACCTGTGTCTCTGGAAACATAACAAATATTTTTTTCCTCTCTTATCGATTAATGAAAACTTAGCCGACAATAGTTTGTACAAGTTTAGACAGTTTAAACAAGCAGCTGGGCAGCCAAAACCACATAATTTTGATGCATTTTCCATTTCTCGCTTACAATTTGTACAAAAAGCAGGTGGAAACAGCAACTGTTCAGGCCGAATATTAAGAAAAGGAACAACACTCAAAAACTTCTCTGTTACAGGTTTAATACCTCGATACCCTGCTTGATACGCATAACAACAACAGAAGCAGAAAGGAAACGATCTGTAGACTTATGGAAATGTTAAAATAATTCACAAACAACAGCCAAAGTGCAGAATATAACTAAAAACAATAATTCGTTGTCTTGGTTGACCGATCTCTGTTGTATAAATATAAATAGCCTTTATTATCATGTAATCACAGTTATATAGTTTTTTTCTTAGATAATTTTGTTTTTCCGGTCCAGTGTATTGTGAAATTTGGTTTCAGCCAAGGATTTTCATTGCAGTGTATCAATAGTGACTCTTATTTTATTAGGTGCTAGTGTTAATGCTAAGGACCAAGGGTGGCTGACCCCGCTGCATCGGGCAGCTGCCTCAAGGAATGAAGTAAGGCTTTTAATATTTATTGTTATTTTCATACAATGTTCCATCATTTCCCTTACTTAATTCTCTATTTTCCATTTTCAGAGGGCAGTAGGATTGCTGCTAAGACAGGGCGCTGAGGTCAACGTGCGGGACAGGCTCTGGCAGACGCCGCTGCATGTGGCTGCTGCTAATCGGGCCATAAGATGTGCCGAGGCTCTCCTGCCCCTGTTGAGCAGCCTCAATGTTGCAGACCGGAATGGTAGAACAGCCTTGCACCATGCAGCCTACAGTGGACACACAGAGGTAACACTACCTTATTTCTTAGGCTCTTGGGCTCGACTTGACTCGGCTCGGCTCAACTCGACTTGCTTTTGGTACCAGCTACTTCATTTTCCACTGCAGATGTAGCGCCCCCTCAGTGTAGCTGGTCAGCATAGTGATGCCAAATGAAACTGCTGAGATGTGAAGGAGACAAATTTAGTTCAGAAGAGCCTGATGGCAGCAAAACAAAAGACTGCTGAAAAAAAAGGAGAGTTTGGGAAAAACTACATCCAAGTTCAGATGACGAGACGATTCTGGTTGCTCAAAAAGGTGACGCAAAAGGCCATGCTAACCTGATAGCTAACGTTAGCATATGTGTTCAGCGATTCTCTCTGATCAGTCAGTAGTGTTTAGTTTTTTGTACGTCACCTTTTGCTCGCTTGAAATCTCAATGGAAACGAGACCAAAAAAGTACTGGGTACCAGGTACCAATTTTTGCCTAATGGAAAACCAAAAAAGGTAAGATGAGTTGCGTCGAGCTGGTACCACGCAGTGGAAAAGCGCCTATACTGACCTGATTTAACTCATTTTGATTGGACTATTTTGTTTTGGTTTCTTCTTTAATTCTACAGAGAACGATAAATCTTTATCAAACAAAAAAAATAAATACCATCGTTATTTTACAGACATTACCTGTGCCAGAAAGTGCGGTTCAGTAAAAGTTGTGGTTGTAGTATATTTTCTTGTTTAATTTGGCCACGAAATTGTAATTAATCTGGTTGTAAAGAACTGGATTGTGAATGTCACTTAAATGTGTAGGAGGATCCAATATGTTGCTGAGCACTAGCTATACCGTATAACACTCGCATTGTTATTATTGAGAATTTTGATTTTGAGGATTTAAAAGATGTTTACTCTTTGCTGCCAGTTAATTAATTTTTTAGTTAACAAGAGATCATATCTGCGTATAACTTATACTTTAGACCAAATCTGATGTTTGTTACAAATTTTATTCCATGATTTAAAGACTGAAGAAGGAGACCTGACTCCCTGTTTTTTGTGAATCTGGTACATTTCACGCAAACTGAAAATCATGCATGCCTGCACCACTTTCTCTTTCTTCAGTATATGTATTTTTCCATTCCAGATGGTGACCTTGCTCCTGAACAAAGGGGCCAACCTGAGTGCCAGTGACAAAAAGGACCGGCAGGCTATCCACTGGGCCGCTTACCTTGGTAAAACAAATTCTTATCTTTTCATTGTCTTTTTACATAGGTTAATAACTGAAATGTATCTTGTGTGACTCATTTCTTAGTGGAACAGCAGAATCTCTAAGCTCGAGCTTTGTATATTTGTCCAAACCCAGCAGGATTAATAATAAACTCTTGTGTTTGGAACAGAAATCTGCTGATTATGGGTGACTCTGATTGTGAATTCCTGTTATTGGTCAGTATAATTTTCCCCTCCTGCTGGTGCTTGGTGATGTAATCAAAAATCAGAAGAGTCATTATGTTGTGATGGAAGATTAAACAAGAATCTTTTAAATGATGTGATGAATTGTGCCTGAACCAGTTTTTGTGTTGAGAAAAGGGATGTGATGAAGGTCTAATGGCTTTTCCACTCAGAATGGACAGTCTTGGTCAGCGAAAAGCTGCATACACATTTTAACTTAACTGACCATATTGCCTTGTTGTGCTTGTTCTTGATGTGTGTATAACCTTCCCGTCACTGTGTTTATGGGCTGTTTTTAGCCATGCGTAGGCAGTTTTATGCTGTTCTTGGATGGAGGTAATAATTTTAGTGTTATATAGTTGAGGGCGTGTGGTTTTTGTTTGTCCCGCAGTTTGCCAAAATTTTCCACTCTGTAGCTTTTAGCCAGTTAGTCACCTCTCCTCATAAAGGTCTGCAGTTAAATAAGTTACAAAATGTGCGGCTGGACACAATCTATATTGAGTACGTACTAATGTACAAGTGCGATCAAACTCGTATAAAGTCTGAAAAATGCTTGATTTCTGGTTAAATAATCAAATCTATTATCAGTATAGTCGTATGTAAGTGAGATGCATGAAAAAGAGCTCTGCTCTGATTGACTTACCTGTTTTATGCCTCATTCAAAAAACACTCAGAGCTGAAACACACTTTAGCGTGAATGGACTGCTGTAAGCTGAGTAGGTGGATATACGAAAGTGAGTTAATCACAAAAACAATGAAAGTGTCCACAGATGAACTGCATAGACCGGAGAGCAAAAGGGACATTTTGTTTACATACTACATTAAAGTATTTCAAATAAGCAAGGCAAATTTGATTTTTAATTATATGGATCGTTTGAGACTGATATCTTCTGATTGGCTGTTCAGTATCATGCCTTATTCAAAAAGCTGTCCGGCCTGAAACACTCCTTATAACTTCTGTGTGAACTGCTGTCGGCTCAGGATATACAATAGTGCAGGATTTTGTGATAGCACAGCTAGCTCAAAACGAGCTGTTATTGCAGATTCATTTGCATGCACAGATTGTGTGGACTGAGGACTGAATCGTACATTTTGAAACAGTATTTACATCACATTTTCCTGTGTATACTGAGTTATGCCTTTGTTTTCTGCCTAATCAGGGCATTTGGAGATCGTGAAGCTCCTGGTGTCTCGCAATGCTGATGTGGCGTGTAGGGATAAGCGGGGTTACACCCCGCTGCATGTAGCTGCTATTAATGGGCACATCGACGTGGTCAAGTACCTTCTCCGACTGGGAGCTGAGGTAAGATCACAGTGCATCCTCTGCATTTTGAAATGCATTGATTTTTGATATTGATTGAGTAAATGATTTGACAAAGTGCGAGCTGTTGGGGATGCTGCTTTTAAATAAAACAGAATGTAATTTTTTCTGTCCAAAAGGATCCAGAGAGTCCATCTAATTTTTTTTTTTTCAAAATCCTGAGATTTTTTAAAAAAAAATTCTGCATAATTAAATGATTAAAATGTAGACAGAGTCATTCAGAGTGGTTTGGTGTGAAATGCTCTGTTCTAGAGGAACTTACAAAGTCAGAATCGTTCACAGTGGTGGTGACAGGAACCAGACGTCCACCTCCAAAAGCTCCCTCACAGAAAGATATTACATGAAATGGTTATGAATACACTGCCTGATGGCTGTGAAATTGATTTATGATAGTTTTGAGAAGATTTTGGCCTAAGTGGTTTTTAAAATCAATTTATGCGCATGTAGCTAAATGAAACACTGTAAGACAAAATAGACCACAAAGAAACCTTACTTAGAACTGATCATCCAACATCAGTACCTGACTTCACTAATGCTCTTGTGGCTGAATGCAGTCAGATCCTTGCAGCAATGTTCCAGCATCTAGTGTAAAACCTTTCCGGAAGAGTAGAGGCTGTTACTGCAGCACAGACTCACTATTAATACCCTTCATTTCAGAAAATACTCTGTCTACAGGCTTTTGGTGCCAGGTGTTAATTTTCATTTGTTTTCCTTCCCTCTTACCTCAATCAGATTGATGAACCAAATGCCTTTGGGAACACTTCTCTCCACATGGCCTGTTACAACGGGCAGGAGGCTGTAGCCAATGAGCTGGTGAACCGCGGGGCCAACGTTAACCAGCCCAACTTACGAGGCTGCACCCCCCTGCACCTGGCTGCTGTTTCCACCAATGGGGCCCTTTGTCTTGAGCTGCTAGTCAACAATGGTGCCGACGTCAACATGCAGGTCAGCAAAGAAGCTTAAACACTTCATATGCACAAATGCACTGTATAAAACAGTTTGCTAAATATTTTAGGGTCGGATGATGTCTACCTAACTGACATACAGCGATGTCTACAGGGAAGTTAAGTGTTCGTTCTTAAAAGCTGGCTGTGTTAAAACACTGTGTCAGTCATCTGTCAGTCATCGCTGATGGATGATAGCATCGTCTGTCAGCCCAATCTTAAATTATTAAGTGCATAATTCCTTATGGGGCTACTTTGCAACAATGTAATGCGCTTACATTTTCATCTAGAATGGACTGAGTTTTGTACAAAAAAAATCACGTGCACAGTTTTCCATTTTCCCCAGATGTAATTAGCTGAGACATATTTGGCTTTTTTAGTTATAAACTAGTGCTACTGGGCTAATGTAGCTGACGAACACTAGAGGTCAGTAGTCACCCAAATCTTTTCTGTAAATATAATCACAAAATGTCTCTCGACCCATTCAAACAGCAGCCAGGTCTTCTTACTGTGACTTACCGCAAGCTATAAAGATGAAAAAAACATGGTTTATGCCGAATTCTCTACAAAATCCTACTCTTGCATTCACAAATTTTATTGTGTCTATTTAAAATAACTGTTAATCTTAAATTTCAAGCAAAAGATATGTCTAAAAGTAGAAACAGCAGAAATCACAAATTTCTGGACTCCACAGGCCAGAGTGTCATGCATGCATGCCAAGGGGAGTTGGATTTTGTGGGGAGGCAGAAATAGACACAACACCTATGCCTGCAGCTTTCAGCTCCACAAAGAAGTTTTGTTTGATTGTATAGTTCACAATAAGTACACATACTGTGTACCTAAACCACATCAACGTATAATTAGGACATTAATGTTAATTTTTTCTGTATCTTATATTTTAATCTTTGGTTTTCAGAGTAAAGAGGGGAAGAGCCCTTTGCACATGGCCGCCATTCATGGGCGCTTCACCCGTTCCCAGATCCTTATTCAAAATGGTAGGATATACACCTACATATACATTAAAAGAAATAAACAGCACTGTGCAAATGTTTTACAGAATTAAAGAGCTGTTCATTTATGTACTGAGTGTTTACTTTTTTTAGAAAATAAATGCTAATATTATTGTATTAAACACTGTAAGTAGAGATTTTATGCATGCCACTGTGTTCATTAAACTATATACCAACCTCTCTTCAATAAAGGCCAACATTTAGTGTAGTTATAATCCAACACCTGTTTTGACTAATCAGTACTTCATTATGTAAGATCATCCATCTGGAACCAAATTTTGTTCAACAAACCAGTTCATAGCTACTTGAAAACATGAAATTCTTGTTCTTTTTTCCTGTAGTTATGTTTATTTCCATTTATACGATTGATAGATGTTGCTCTTATAAGCACTAACCATCTTTCAAATACTCAGAAAACTCTGAGAATATGTTAATTTAGTATGTAGTATTTATATATCACAAACACACAGGGCAAATATTGGAAATATGTTACTTTATATCATTCTTCTGTTTTAGGTGGGGAGATAGACTGTGTTGATAAATATGGCAATACTCCTCTTCATATTGCTGCTAAGCATGGCCACGAGCTGCTCATCAGCACTCTGATGACTAACGGTGCTGATACAGCCAGGTAAACTCGGCGGTTCCTATCTATGCACTTGTGCTTAACTCTTTCAGAGGACTCTTTACTATGACCTTTTACTGTAAGTCTAGTTTACACTTCTAGCATAATGTAGCAACTGAACTTTCTTTCCTCACTTCTATATATTCCTTCAAATGAAAACAATATCAAATACATTGTTCACTGTAAAAGTACCCTGTGGCTGAACATCAGCTCACTCAACTGGGCAGGTGGTTTTCACCACTGCTGTCCCAAATGAATGTTTTACTTGCGTCAGGCAGTTATTAATGTTGAACCTTGCTTTAATGAACACTAAATGTGGCCCTGTGGGCAGTATCTGTAATGTCCCGTGTATAGTCTGCCACTTACCACCTTATTTTCAAAAACGGTTTATGTATTGCTCTAAGAGACTGTTTGTTTTTTTCATATATGTTAAACACAAATCTGATTTGTTGATATCTGCTCAGGTTAATAACTTGCTGTTATGGCTGAAATTATAAAAATAGTCTGTGGGAATGTTCGGTTTTCTTTACTGAATCCCCTTTTACAAGAAACTGATCCAGATCTTTTTACAATCATCTGTGTCTTTTTCTTCCTCTCCTCAGGCAAGGGATTCATGGGATGTTTCCATTGCACTTGGCGGTGCTCTACGGGTTTTCAGACTGTTGTCGAAAGTTACTCTCCTCAGGTAGGAAAAAAAGTCTCTTTTAACTTCAGATTTACTTTACATTACTTTTGGTACTTTAGGTTACTTTTACTGTTTCTGTTTTAATAACCATGCAGTTTTGTTTGTAAGTAATTGCAGAGTGATTTTTGTTAGTATTCCAAGGAATTTTAAATGAATCACTGTCTGAAATACCAAATGTTTAATTCAAGGCTAGTTACATCTGCATTGATTAAACCATACAGAATCACATAAGCAGTTTCCTTTTTTTCCTCCACCTTTTCCTAATTACGTCACTTTGTTGCAAGTTCAAAGTGAATTCCACCAATTTTTCACATTTTTAGCAAAATTAAAGGGTTTAAGATGTAAGCAAAGTGATTTAGAGTGGTTTGGTGTGAAATGCTCCATTCTAAACAAACTTAATGAGAAACTTATGGAGTCAGAATTGTTCACAGTGGTGGTGATAGGAACCAGACGTCCACCCACAGAAAGTTATTACATGAAATGGTTATGAACACACTTCCTGATGTCTGAGACATTGGTTTACAATAGTTATAAGAAGGTTGTGCCCTAAAATACCTGAAATGCACTTAAAATGCTTTCATGTTGGAGATATACCTGCAGGCTGCTATGAGGCAAAGTTATGTGGTTGCACTCCATATAAACCTAGTTGAAACTACACTAAGTTTGGAGACCCCTCTGGCACGCAGTGTGCAGAAGAACATTTTGTAATGTGGATTGTGCTTCGGACCACTTCTTTGAACAAATGTGTCTGATAATTGAAAGAGAATTAAGAGAGTTCAGTCAAAACTTGGTGAAAGACACGTCCTCCGAGGATGTGTGTGAATTATCTACTATTGTTGTTATATTTACCAGTATACTGTTGATTTTGAGATCATTTGAAACCTAAACATCGAGCCGGACCTTCTTTATGTGCCTGTGTGTGACATTAATACATAAAGAAGTACGATGTGGTGTGAAAAACTCCTGACCCAACACTTCTGACTTTTAAATGATTATTTCGGGCTTCACAAGCAGAATCGCAGCAGACTCACCATATTTCGCCTGTTTTTGTTATTATTCTCCTGACTCAGCAATGCTACTTCTTTCAGTTTTAAAAAAGTGCATAGTGCAGCTTTAAATTGGCCTGTAAATAACTTTTTGATAAAGTAATGGCTAACGATCATGGTCTTTAGAGTGGGCAGTGATTCTTATATGGTTAAGTCAGTACAGTCAAAGCTGAAGTTTTGTGTTTTTTCCTTTATTTTTAATTTTTCTAAAAGAAATATCCTTTGATAATGAAAGTTGGTGTAGTGGAATCTTTGACATCACCTCACATCGCAATTCATTTACTCTGCCTTGGGAAGGTGCAGACCTTACGTAGAGATTGTTTCTATGTTAAACATGCACTTTAAGTGTAGAATACGTCACTTAACTCGCACAACATCATATCATTAATTGCTTATTTGTGTATTCTTCAACATCCTAGGTCAGCTGTACAGCATTGTATCGTCTTTGAGTAATGAACATGTGCTGTCTGCTGGGTTTGATATAAACACCCCAGATAGCCTGGGGAGGACTTGCCTACACGCCGCCGCCTCTGGAGGGTATGACTACTGGAAAGGCTTGGATTTCATTTTCTGTTAGATTGTGTGTTAATACATTATGTGTCCAAAAGTATCCAGGGAGCCCTTTTGTTGAGTTCAGCTACTTTAATGTGCACTTTCCATCTCCATAAAAAAAAAGCATTGACCAGTAGAATGTACCTGACCTCACTAATGCTGTTATGGCTGAATGCAATCAGATTCTCACAGCAATGTTCTAGCATCTTGTGTAAAGCCTTCCCAGAAGAGTAGAGGCTGTTACTGCAGCAAAGGGAGACAAACTCACTATTAATACGCCTGGAGGAGCAGGTGTCTGCAAACATATTTGGACACATAATGTAGCTTCTTTAAAAATATGTATCTTTGTGAGAAAATATGAAAACTGATTTGATGGTGATTTAAGTTTTTCTTAAATTTTGCCAGAAATGTGGAATGTCTTAACTTGCTGTTGAGCAGTGGTGCTGACTTGACAAAAAAGGATAAATTGGGAAGGTAAATAACATTGTTTGTTTGTTTGTTTGTTTGTGAGTAATTTGTCTACCGTGGAGTATCAGAATCTTAAGCCTAATTGGAGCTGGATTAATTTTGCCAGAGGAGGTCCGGTAATGTAATTTGTGTGTGATTTCACTGGCCAATTCATACAGATTAAAGGATCTGTGTAATTTTCTCGAAATTACCCAAAATAGCCTGGATTGAAACATCTTTGCACAGTTCTTTACATCAGTGTTATACGACAGACACCATATTTCCGTACAATAAAACCACATTGTGCGGATATATACCAATTTTGGTATATCGGCAATCGCTCAAATGACAGGTAAAACTAATCCAGGTCCAATAGGGCTTTAGACTTTACCAGATCATTTAAATGGTCATGAAAATGAGGAATAGTGATGATAAGTGCTTGTGGTTCCTTTGCTCTCATGTGCTGGTCAGCACAGACATGTTCAAACAGTTTGAGCAGCAGCAGATCAGCGGTGAAAATGTCAGCCAAAAGTAACTGTTACATGGTTTCTACAAGGAATATTACACACAAGATTTATAATCACTGATCATGTCGAGTATCAAGAGGAGGTTCAACACCCAAGTGCTCCACTATAGGTTTGATAGCACCTGAAAACACTACGCAATACACTAGAAGCAATAGAAGCAAAACAATAGAAGCAGGAAGGAAAGTCCCTGCAAGCACATCGCACCATCTGTACATGCAGTTTTTGAAATGATGAAAACATTCACAAACCACAGACAAGACTCCAAAAATAACTAAAGAATAGGGGAATTCGATGTCTTGGCTGACTGGCCGTTCTCTGTCATCGAGGACGCTGGATTTCGTGGCACATACTGTAGCTACATACTGTAATCAGTTTTATTAAGGTTATTTTATGTAAACTTTTTATTTATGGTCAGCTTTTTTTGGATTTTCATATCAGTGCATCACTAGTTTTTTTTTTTTTGGTCCCCCCCTCTGTCTAGGGCTCCTCTGCACTATGCAGCAGCGAATGGTACATACCAGTGCACGGTAGCCCTAATGAGTGCTGGAGCCGAGGTCAATGGGCTGGATCTGAAAGGGTGCAGCCCTCTTCACTACGCAGCTGCTTCTCAGACCTTCCGCAGGTACAGTACTGTCACAACCCCAGATCTGATCAGCCACACAATATTCAGATACTGCAGGGCTCAGGTTTTATTCTGCACAGATTGGTTTGGCACAGATAAATAAATAAGATTGCTGTGCCTCCCGCTAACAAAACAAAACCCAGAAATCACAACCCCCAGAATTTGCAAGGCCTTCAGGGGAAAAAAGTCCAGTCTTTTATGTCTATTGCAGTAATGTCTAACAGGTAACTAAGTGACAAATGATGCGTGGCTCTCATGAGTTTTGTTGTTTCAGAGTTGACTGCTACAACTTTGGAAACCACCAGAGTGAAGAGCGAGATAAAGAGGCTCTGTTGTAAGTGTTAAGCTTGTTTCTCACACGCTACCTCCACGTGACATGGAGCGTAGACGTGGAGCGTCGCTGTGTCCCAGATGCAGTACAGAAGCGCTGCGGTATTCAGAGAGTAGCCTATTTTCAGCACATGCCACACACAAAACACTGCAATATACAGGGGAATGAACTACAAAAGTCAATGAAAATGAAAAACAACACTGAATAACGTCTTTAATTCATGCCTGTCATTAAATGCAATACTTAACGCTGATGATGGTAAATGCATTTATGAAGCTCTTTTATGAATTTTATTTTTATTAAGCAAAGTAACTGATTTGACTGTCCATTTGGAAAAAGGGTGTCTGTCTTGCTTGCTGTACCAGTAATTTCAGCACAGCGCAAATGCAGTATATGAATGACAAACTGAGCTGTGGCAGTCACGCTGATGCATCGCTCATGTCATGCAGAGGTAGTACGTGTGAAACAGGCCTTAGTTTTTACTTTTCTAAAGCCTTTCTAACCGTGTATGAGATCTTACTTATTTGCTGCTTTTGCGTCCAGGTGTTTGGAGTATCTGCTTGATAACGGGGCTGAGCCAGGTCTACGCAACAACAAAGGATTCAGTCCTGTGCACTATGCAGCTGCCTATGGCAACAAGCAGAACCTGGAACTGGTGGGTTTACGTTTATTAATAAATGAATGCACATGCAGTAGGTAGTGCACAGAAATCTTAATTTTGATTGATTTGGCAAAGTTGTAATTTTGCACTTACAAATGTAGTCAATCAGCCAAGATTATCTTAATCTTGGTTCTTTCATTTAAATGTGGTTTTACAGGGCTAATGTAGCTAATAAACGCTATTAAAAAATCTTTTCTGTAAATTTATCCCAAAAACTTCTCTCAACCTGCTCAAAGCACATCCTGTTCTTCATTAAGATGGTACAGACATGTTGATCTGATTTAGGACAGAGTATGGCTTATTTTGAGCTCTAAAAACAAACAAAATCTTTACTGTAACTCAGGCGTGTGAAACTGGGGACTTTCCGGGCCAAAGTGCTGCAGAGATTAGCGTTTACCCTCATCTAATGCTCTGAATTCAGATCACGAAGGCCTTGCTAATTAGTTGATGAGCTGAATCAGGTGTGTTTAATGAGGTAGCATGCTGAAGTCTGCACTGTTTTGGAGTTGAGCTTGACACATGTGGTGCAGCTGAACACTGCAGGCAGTCACTTTAGACAATGGGGTTGTTGTGCTGAATTCTGACTCCTGTTTGAGTGCACATGCGTCACAAGACCTACTGTCTAAAGTAGCTGCCCGCAGCATTCGGCTACACTGTGAAGTTTTATTCATTTTTATAGCTCACTGTGTCCTAAAACACATTGACAAGTCTGTGCCACCTTAATGAAGCCTGGATGTGGTTTAAGCGGGTTGAGAGATGTTTTCGGGGATGTATTTGTTAGCAATGTTAGCCTTGTAGCTCCAGAGCTAAACTAAAGAAGTCAAACTGAGACACCAAACATTTTGGCTGATTCACTGCATCTGGGGTAAGTGGAGTATTATCTAAAATTGATTTAGAAGCATTTCTTTAAAAAAATGCTAGTAGCATGAGATGAAAAATGTCAAAGCGTGCCACTCCGAGCACCTTCATCTGTCCTGTGATTAGATACTGAAACAAGCAAACAAGGACTGGCTGCATGTCAGGCCTTAGGAATCTGTAGGGGAGACCTAGATAGCAGGTAGTGTGTGGTGCGATGAGCACACATACATGTTTATTGGGAAAATATTGTTCACAAAATGCAATGACTGGTACATCAGCACCTAAAACTAATGCCATGGTAACAGTTCCATAACTTGGTATACAGTATATGTGATATTTTTATTTGCTTTATTAATTTATTTTATGTGTGACTACTTGATGTGGTTTTTTTTTCTGTGTTCCTTTTTTCCTTCTCTTATAGCTCTTAGAAATGTCTTTCAACTGTTTGGGAGATGTGGAAAGCAGTTTTCCTGTAAGCCCTTTGCACTTAGCTGTAAGTGTCTATTTAAAATATCTCAGTAGATTAAAAATAAATAAATAAATAAATAAATAAAAATTTGCATGACTCTATAAACCAGAAGCATTTTTTTTATAGATGATGTAGAATCACTTCTTCTTTTAAACATTTAGCTCAGGCAGGGCTTCGTAGCACTAAACTTTCAAAGCAGACAAAATGCTCATTTTAGCTATTTTTAAGCACCAGCCTTTGAAAATTGCTTCTGCACTGGATATAAAAAAACACATAAATGACTGTGTGATGCGCTGTCAGTTAGGAGACTGTGTTATTATCTTTGCCTTGGTGTTTACCACATATTTGCTATATATCATTGTGCAGTGCTGTGCTGTGGCGAGTGTTTGGGTGTCTGAGATAATTATGTTCACTTTTGTGAACAGTTTTTACTGTATATGGTTAACAAGTTAGCTATTTCTTCTCTCTCTCTGTTTTGATGAAGATTATACAACACATTTGCCAATAGTGAAGCATTTAAATGGAGTGTAAAAGGTACTGAAATCATTTGGGTTATTGATCTTTCTTAGGCGTATAATGGTCACTGTGAAGCCCTGCGGGTGCTGTCGGAGACGTTGGTGAGTCTGGATGTGCGGGACAGTGGTGGCCGAACAGCGCTTTACCTGGCTGCCCTAAAAGGCCATGCGTCCTGTGTGGAGGTGCTTCTGGCTCATGGAGCCTCCTGCATTCTGAAGGAGCGCAGACGCAAGTGGACGCCTCTTCATGTAGCAGGTAAGTTTGTGTCTGAAACCTGAAAGTAAGGATGCCTGCATGTTAGACGCTGAAGCAGCATCAAAAACCCGACTCCCACACATAACCTTATGGTGAAATTCAGCATTTTGAAAGTTTAAATGTGCCATTCCATTCATGTGACTCGTGTAGATTAAACTGTACAGGTTTTTAACTGTAGGAATTGTAGGAATCCCACAGATACAGCATTCATTTTTATTGGCCAGATAACACTGAAATGTGAAAAGAGAGCCATGTTTTGCGAAAAACTTGCGAAGTGTTTCATTTTCCATTTTTGGATTTCTTCAGTGGCCTTCGGTTTGCCAAACAGTATGCAAAAAAAGGTTACTATGTAAAAAAATATTACAGTGTACAACCAAGATGATCAGCTCAACTTTGATTTTTGTTTGAACTTGAGTTTTTTTATTTCTGTAGACTGTTGTAACTGCATTGAAAACTTTGTGACCACAAGAAAAATTACGTATAATCACAAAGAGCAATCATAGGGGTCCAAGCACCGAAAAAAAAATTCCTCTGGGAACTATGTTGCTATCATGATGCAGATATCAGGCAGCTTATGTATAACCATTCTTTAAATAACTTTTTGGCAAGAAGCTTTTAGGCCATTAAACTCTTTAGACTTCTGGTTCCTATCACCACCAGTGAGAGAAATTCTTGGGCTGCCACCATAAAGCGATTGACTGTGCCAAAGAAATTGTATCACTGACATTCAACAAATTCTGCTAGGATGGATGGATGAATTTGTGGATGGTATGAAGCCTGGATGAATTGATATTGTCAGGGGGGAAAAGGACTCATACCAGTTTCTTATCAACATGCTTATACTTTGTTTTTCTCTGTTGTTTAGCTGCCAGTGGCCAAACAGACTGCTTGTATATGTTGATGAGCCGAGCTGAGAAAGCGGACCTCATTGACCTCGCAGATGTACAGGGACAGTAAGTGCAGTCCTCTGCATGGGATCCAGTTAGTTAATAATCTAGTTTCATAGATTAGACAGACTGAAGTGAGAGGGTTTACTGTTGTATTGACCAGTTTTAATCTTAACCTGTTCCAACAATCTAGTATAGTACAGTAGTTCCGAATGGTCTGAGTTGTGTATAGTTAAACCTTTTGAGTAACATTTTACAGATCCCATTTGAATTTGTTTGATTAATTGTAATTTTCATACTATTTATTCACAATAAAATTAGGATTTTTTTATAGCTTTGTTAAAGGGCCCATATCATGGAAAACTGATTTTGCTTAATTTATTTTAAAATAAGTCCACATATGGAAACTAAACAGCCTGTTTTAAATATATTGTTTTTGGAATGCTACAAAACCAAAGCATTTACATATGTCTGCCTGTTCAGTCTACAACAGTTTAGCCCCTGCCATTAACATTGAAGTTGTAAGCAGTGTTTCTGCCTGGACTGCTTTTTGAATGAGAAGCCTATCAGAACAGGGCAGTAACAAAAGGCACAGTAACAAAAACAGCCTGTCGAAAGTTGGAAAATGGCCATATAACAATTAAGTAATTAATTAATTAAATGGCCACATGTAATAATTATGACTATTATTGGTACAAAAATTCACAAACATCATAAATGATGTGAAATAAAAGAAAAATTATGATATGTGTCTCTTAATAAGAATTGCATTACTTACGTAGTCTAAGCATTTTTTGTCCTTTTGGGCTTCAGAGATGTTTAGCATGTATTTCATGTATTGTTCTGTCTGTTGTCTGACCTTTTGAGTGTTGCAAGAATTTTATAGTTACTAAGATGATGATGATGATAAGAGTTAGTATTGTAAGCATGCTTTGCTGTTTCGTAGGACTCCGCTAATGTTGGCCACTCTGGGCAGTCACGTGGATTGTGTCCACATGCTTCTTGAGAGAGGGAGTAAGCCTGATACAGGGGACAAATGGAGCCGCACTGCACTTCACAGAGCTGTAAGTGCGCTCTTTGTTATTGGAACATTATTGGTAAAAGTTGTTCTTTCCAGCTGAATTGAGAAAATTAATGCCTAAAATAGAATTTGGGTGAATTTTTGAATAGTTGAAGAGGATGGGACTCCAATAGTGGTCCAAAGGGGAATTCCACCAATCTAAAATGTATTCATAAACAATAAGATTCCTTATTGCAAGTGTGGTTGCTGTCTTTTACAATACTGTGTAATAGTAATAAAAAGTAGTAAAGTAAAAAGAGAAGATCCATCAGGGTAGAACAGAGTACTTAGGAAGTGTGTGTTCATTAACAATGCCAACTTGCATATTACCTGATACAAAAAAGACAGTCTGAAAATAGTGTTGAAGTACTGAATTTGACTAATTTGATATGAGCATGTCTTTCTCTCTTACTTTATATCCTGTCATCTGACTCTGTACTGTCCACTTTCTCCCCCACACTTGCAGGCGGTGATGGGCAGTGAGGACTGCGTGTCAGCTCTGCTGGAACATGGAGCTTCGGCACACTGCAGGGATGTGCGTGGCAGGAGCCCTCTGCACTTGGCCGCCTCCTGTGGCCACGCAGAGCTACTGCGACTGCTGCTACAGGCAGCCGCCCAGTCAGACCCTCTGGACTCTCTACTGGATTACAGTGGCTACACACCTGCTCACTGGGCAGCCTACCACGGTAAGGACTTTCTAAAGTTTGACTGTCCAGAATGTTTAGAATCAGTGTTTTCAAATTATATATAATTTTGCTACAGATAGATATTTATAATGTTTGTAACGTGCTAGTCCTGCAGCTTCACAGGTTTCAAATAATTATTAGGAAGATTTAACAAACAGAGCTGTAGAATATAGAATAAAGTGAAAACACAAACAAAAAGACAAATGTCTTTTTAATTATTTTAACTATTTCCTTTTCTGTATTCCTGGTTACGTTTATCATATATTTAGGGCACAAGGACTGTTTGGAAGTTTTACTTGAACATAAACCGTTAAGTATCCAGGAAGGAAATCCCTTCACTCCACTGCACTGTGCACTGTAAGTATTTTCCATCTGTTTAGCAACAGTATAGATCATTTTTAAAAATGTGGACAGAGAAAGCAGAGTTGTCTCTTGTAGAATGACTGGCCATGATGCTGCTGCTGAGCTGTTGGTGGAAACGATGGGCACCGAGATTATCAACCTCAGAGATGCCAAAGGAAGGTGGGTATCTCTTGTCGGTACAGAACAGAAGTTTTATTAGTATTTTCAGTAGGGATGCACAGGTATCACTTTTTCCCCTTCTTAAATGATACACTTAGCAAAAAGGGTTCTATGTAGTATCAAAAATGTGTTCTTTGGCTTGTAACACTAGTGAAACCCTTTATGAAGCTATAAAGAACCCTTTTCTAAAAGGATTCTATATAGAACCACATTCTCTGTCAATCTGAAGAAACAATGCAAAGAACTGTCATCATGCACAGGGTTCTTTGAGTATTCATGGTTCTACATAGAACCATTTATTTTACTAAAGAACCCTTGAAGAACCATATTTTTAAAGATTGTAATAACTGATGAAACAGAGTACCTAAAGCAATACTCTATTTAACCAAACTACTCAATAGGTGGCTATAATTCGTAATGTTTATATATGTTCCACTCTTTAAATTGTCAGCTTTTCATGACAGACTAATAAAAATAATCCAAAAATCGCATATGTCTCCAAGCGTCAGGCTCTGCTGGAGTTTAAGTAAATGGCAGTGTTCTCACTTGTTCTAATGAACTGCATTAAGAGTAACCACACGTGAACACGCCCTAAATGACAAAGCAAGCGCTCCTAAAATAAATTTAGCATAATACTTGTAAGAACAGCATAGTGATCAGAATTGTATCTTCTAGGTTGTCAGTATCAAACTGTTGATTCTGTATCTCTGTGCTTTGTCTGAAGGACCCCACTGCATGCAGCTGCTCATGCAGAGAAGGTTTCTGGGTTGCAGCTGGCTTTGGTCTGGGGGTCTGAGGTAAACTCGGTTGATTATTCAGGACGATCAGCACTGATGGTGGCTGCTGAGAATGGGCAGACCTCTGCTGTTGGTACGTAGCTGTTTCATTTTGTTCATTTTAGTTAATTCATTTGGCACATCCACAACATTAGAGTCACTAGTCTCATGTTTCTGTCTGTTTTGCAGAGATCTTACTGCATCAGGCCAAAGCAGACCTGTCACTGCTGGACATCAACAACAATACAGCACTACACTTGGCGTGTAGCAGAGTAAGGGGGCATTCAGACCCTACCTTTTTAAACTCTCTGAAATTGGCTTGTTTTCATTGGCTGTGTTTACATGCAAAGATGTTTGCCAATTCACTTGAATACATTCCGATTATAGATTAAGACTGAGGTGTTTATATGCTCACTCTACTCAACAATCTGATGAAAATCTCTGTTGACGTGCACTACAAGTAATCCGATCAAAAAATACATGCATCGCAGCGCTTTTGTTTTTGTTTTTAATTGCTTTAAAATGATGTATGTTTTCCTGAGTCTGACTTAACATGTACTTGTTAAAAAAGGCCGAGAGGAAGACGTCGTGTTCTGAGACACATAAGCTGGACGCCCGTCCCACCGCCATCTTTTAAAGCTCAAAGCATAAACTTCGTCTCCTCTACAGACCAGTTTCTGCTCCCGCCACGTTGAACGTTATAAACCAAACGCGAACGCACATGTGTAGAACGTACTTAAATTTTCTGATTGAGAATGTAATCAGATACAGTTGTTTACAGGGTTATTATTCATCTATTTAATGAACTATTTACAGGATTATCCATCTCGCTCAGTCTGACACAAATTGTATTCCGAATGGCCTCAATTGCATTCTATTTAAAGGCCTTTGCTTTAAACTAGTGATACAGTAATAACTTCCTCTCTAAGCTTACCTAGTAGAGTAGAAGTTCATATACTTTAGTATTATCACTCAGTCAGACAGTGTTTTATAAAAATCATCACACTACAATCACATCACTTTATCTGGAAAAAAGGTTGACATTTTGTCCATTTCACATTTTATTATTCTCCATTGTTGTAATTTTAACACTGTGGACATATTTGAGCTCTGTCCAGTAGGGGGAGCAGTGCACCTCCTGCTCAATTCCAAACTCCAACTATCAGAGTGACCATTAGCTCATGAGATACCGAATACCATTTCTTATTGGCTCACTATCAAAACAGGGTGTGCTTTATGTAAATTATATGTATATTCTGTTGAGTAAGGAGCTTTTTTATTATTACTTTTTTTAATTATCAATGAACAAATACTTTTGTTTGTATTCATTCAAGTACGAAGTCAAAAGACATTGTGTGTGTGAAGTATGTTAAATCACAAGCCCATCATCTAGATGTAGCACTTATCCAGTGAAGTGAGTGGTGACGGTACTTCTCTTTAATATTGCAGAGTCATGAGATGTGTGCCCTGCTGATTCTGGCTGAGATTGATGACCTTTCCCTCATCAATGCAACAAACAATGCTCTCCAAATGTGAGGCTCCGTAAATGCTTTATAAATACTATTAGCATTTCCTGTTATTGGTTTTGTTCACTTGTGCATTTTTCCTGTTACTTTATCTCAATTATGTCTCTCTAACGCAAGGCCTCTTCATATTGCGGCGCGAAATGGCCTGGCCACTGTGGTGGAGGTGCTCTTAAGTCGAGGTGCCACAGTTCTGGCTGTAGATGAGGAAGGTTAGTTCCTCAATTTTAAATATTTTGTGTATATATACTTCGGTGCAAAGAGTTATCTGTACGCTTCAATTTTCTAATAATTCTTCTGTAATCATTTTTCATTTACTTTTTTTGTTTTTTCATAACACTACTGACTGCTTTCTATTCCTATATGGATCATTCAAATTGGAGCAGAGTTAAAATCACATTTGAACTTGAGACTAAAATCCTTTTGTTTTGAGTGACTCTACCTTAATTATGTTTATTTTATTAAAACTAATGATGGCACTTTCCATTTTGTCACTACAAAACAATCATAACACTTCCCAAACTTTACCAGATGTTCCAGTAGCGACTGTTTCAGTAGTGACAATTTTAGCTCATTTTGAGCAGAACTCAAAAATGCAGTCAGTACGTTTCTAGCAAACACAACAGCTGTAAACACATCATACTTTTTTTTTTTTTTCATTCAAACACAGTTTCAGTAATTGCTGATGTTGAATCCTGACCCTACTTCTGTCACTTTAGGTCACACCCCGGCTTTGGCGTGTGCGCCAAATAAAGATGTGGCAGACTGCCTGGCCCTCATCCTCTCCACCATGAAGCCTTTTCCTCCCAAAGACCCCACTTCTGGTACCAGTTACAGCCTCAATCTGTTAAAGCACTGTGGCATCATTGCCACTCATCACCCCCTGCCCAATGGCAGCCTACGGCACAGCTATTCCAAGGAACGTCACGGCACTGTAGGGCTGGACAGCTGCCTCACCGAGTGAGAAGTACACCCTCTTAACATGCACGCACCCTCAGCAGACCACCCCCCACCTCCATATGCTGATTCCCCTTTTCCTTAATGTCCAACTATAACACCTGTATAACCCACCCACACTATTATAAGGGCAGGAATGTACTACTTCGTGCGTGTGAATGTGTGCACACGCATGCATACGTGTTACGTCGAGTTCCTCTTAACTGTGCAGTCAAACTTGTTGTATATGCAATTATTAACCCCTCTCCGTTTCAGCCCCTGAAAGTCCCCGCATTCTCTTAGATATATCCGTTCTGGTGATCACAAGCAACTGTAGCTGGTCTTACATAGGTTTGACTGTACACAGAGCTATTTATTTCCAGGCAAAACCCGTCTCAGCAATAGCAAATCCCAGATTTCTACTGTTGAGAAAATTAGGGGTTGTCTGCACGTTACTACAAATAGAACACCTTAATGACCGTGTTTGTTTTTGGTTTTGTTTTTTGTTTCTCAAATAATTTTCTGGATAATTCCAGATGTCTTAGTGTTGTGCCTGTGCTGTTCAGACCATGCTAGTACCCCCCCTTTTCTTATTCTACATCCTTCTCTTGACCCCTTACTCTCCCTCCTTTTCTTTAAGAAAACAGTTCTGCTCAACAAAAACGATCTTTTGTATGAAATGAGAGGAAGACGTCAAAGCACACATACTACGTTGCTATTATAAATTAATTTCAGACGATCTCATTCATTTGTTACGATCGAAACTGTTTGCTGAATGCCAAGGTTTGCACATGTTTTGTTTCCTCCATCAGAAAACAGTTTTGAAGTGAGGTTTCATGATAGCTGCTAATGATAAAGCTGCCTTCTCTTCATTCTGATGTGCGGGTCTTTTTAATTCCTGTGTTTCTTTTTTTATGAGAGCAATAACCGTACCAGTTGTCACAGCATACCTCACGCTTGCTTTGAATTTCTAAACGTTGTTTGTTCAGAAATAATTTAACCTTTGCACATGAAAGCAATTAGGCCTTCATTAACAAGCGCCTGCTTTAATCAAAAATGGCAAATGACTATAGTCTGTGTACTGATGTTTCTCAAAAACACCCTCATTTTCAATGATAATGTCTCTTGAGCACTCAAATACATGGATATTCTGTGTGTAGTTTTGGTGCAGCTCTGAGAATAACCACGAAAGCTGCTTGTCTGTGGCCAGTAATTCATAGCAAGTGAAAATATTGAAGGAGGAATTAACAACTTTACAAGTAAAACTTTTTTTTTTTTCCTTCTTGAAAATAGAAACCAGGAGGAAAATCAAGTGTTCTTGGGCCAGTTGTGCCTGCACAGAAAGGTCTGAAGCCTAGATGTCAATGACATAGGTGAGCCAGCAACCGGAAGGTTGTGGGTTTAAATCCCAGTGCTGCTCCTAGACTGGCATCAAAATAACACATTTCCCTTGAATGATCAACAAGGTATAAGCATAATCTTTCACAAAACATCAGCTTTGTTTAGATTTAATTAGCTGTACGCCAGTCGTTATAGATCGGATGACTAGTGGATTCAGCCCAGCGTATTAAAATAGGACATAATTTTATTACAAATCGTTCATTTTTTTCCCTTTTACATAATATGATATAATTGATAATGTAATTATAATATAATAATGACATGCATACATGACACATAATACAACTTCCAGGTGATGCATCTCAACATCAAATTTGTATACAGTACTGTGCAAAAGTCTTAGTTTGTCTGAAAAAATGCTACATAAAGCTGTCTATCTGGGCTTTTACCATTAGAATAACTTCAATGAAGCCCAGTATTTGCAGTCACCATCCAATACCAAGTATATCTCATCAATAACTTCACTAAATTAAATCCGGTGCTGCTGATGTAACTGAACAAATCCATGCCATGGCTGGAGTGCAGAAGAACCAAACCTGTGCTCTTTCCATATTAATAATCTTAAACACTTCTCGTTTTGGTTGTTTTACTGCATTTATGTTTACTTGTATTTATTCTAATGTTACTGGAAAAAGGACACTTACTGCTCAGATAGTGCTCAGATAAAAAGTTTTCACGGCTTTTGCATAGTGCTGTAAATCCCAAGTAATATATCGCTGTTGTCGGAAGAAAACCTTGTATCTCCAAAATGATACTTTACAGGAGAAAAAAACATTTTTAATGTAAGTCAATGGAACCAGACTTTTCAAGTCTTTTTGGGACATTTATTTTGGTCCATTCATCATGAAATTTACACACAATGTGAAGGGCAACACACATTTTTAAATAATGTCAAAAACTGGAAAATGACAAAAATGGAGATTTTCCTTCCGACAGCAGCGTTATTTTACTGTACACTTCAGGCTGTTGCATCATTATAGCATGGCATCATGAGGGGAATCCCACTGTTTGGACCTGCATCACTCATAAACCAGTCGGAGAATAAACTGATTTACTTTTATGTGAAATTATTTTGTGGTTACACTTTTATAATTTAATCTTGCTAATGTAAATGTACAGTACTTGTTTGAGGAAAACTTGATATAACATCTTTTATTTGTGTCCCAAAACTTTGTGTAGCTCACTTTAATTCAATAATGTGGTGCGGCAGATCCAGGAACCCTCCTCTAGGTCTGTTTAGAGAAATGTCATTTCAGATAAGGCTAGTGTAGAGGGGAGGGGAAAGTGGTAATGCCTTTAATTTTTTTTTATTTTTATTATTTTTTTCTTCATCGTTCTTTTAATTGACAATCAGTATTTTAAGGGCTTTTAATTACACAAAAGCTTTAAGTATGCATATATTAATGAACGTTCTTTCTCCTAAAGATAATTAGTCCTCTCATGTGGTTTAGTGTGTGTGCTTTGGCTTTCCTCTCATGTACAATGTTCCCACAAAATACTTACACTCATTTTACAAGGGCTTCTTAAGGACCCCACCGACTTTTTCTTTACTTTTTTCTTTTTCTTTTTCCAAAATAAGTGGCTTCTCTTTAGTATCTTGTAGGAACATTTTGTTTTCTACTTGTGTGTGTCAGATCATTATACCTCATGATAGGAATATACACAAAAATTGTCATCAGTACTGATTGATTGGTTTCTCATCTGTTTTTATATGTATCGATTTTGATTTGCTGAGGGCTCTCCAACTAACAAAAAAAAAGCAGGGCCAGCCAATTTTGGAGAGGTGCTTGATAGGAAAAACAAACAAATTGCATATATTGCACCCTTTGTGGCCAGTACTGGTCGTCTGCTACATCTTGATGAAAATGAGTCAGTATCCTTTACTCTTTGTAGGTGTAGGCGACTCCGCTGTCACTGCTGTTCCTCATATTTGCGCTAAAAGATGATTGTATTAATCTACCTAAATGACATTTTTTCATAAGCCTTTTTATATGATGTCAGAGTAGGGGTCAAACTCATGTTGAAAAAGCCATTCAGTGACATTATGATTTAAGCAGTTGGAAAAGGAGATATTTATTGCAGCTGTTAATTTCCTTTTAAATGAAATTGTTTTTTTCCTTTAGCATTGAACTAGGCTTAAAGGGCAAGTCCACCAATTTTTCTAAATTGCGGCATAACTCACTCCTTGTGATGTAAACAAAGTCATTCAGCATGGTTTGATGGAGAACGACTCTGATTTCTTTACAGTGGTGGTGACAGGAATGCAAATAAAGCTGTTTATTTATGATCTGAAACCTCCAGTGAACCTACACATTCCTCATGTTGATGATGATAAAATAGTGAAAACCTGAAAAAAATACATTTTCTTTGGGTGCTGTTTTGCCTTACAGTGCTGTGCATGTACGTCTTTAGCATGCATGCATTTAAGCCTAAAGGCCATTACACACTGAATGTGGCTCATGTAAATGACACAGAAATGTACATACCAGAACAGTTGGGAAATTTTGCTGTGGAAAAAACACACACAAACAGTTCTTTCAAAAATACTTTCTTTGCTTCTCATGGTAAAGGTTTCACTTTGGAAAAGTGAAAGAACTTAGAGTTTTCTGTCTCAGTCAGCTGGGATCTCTGCTAAGTTTGAGCTGCTTTTGGAGATACAGCTCAACACATGACGAAGCAGAAAACAAACGGACAGAATTGCTCCTCACAGAAAGAACTGTGGACTGCTTTCCATTTTGTTAAAGTAGAGCAAAGAGCTTCATCTCTTCATTCAGAGGCTGAAACTCTGAGTGCTTCCACATATAAACTCAGATGTTTAAAGCCCAGTTTAAGCTGCCTTTAGAGATTCTGATCCTTTTGACGTTTGTTAAAAAGTTGCAGTTGCTGGGACACAGCCGCTCTGTCGTCTTTGTTGTCTCCATGCCAACTGCAGAGACGACCATGATTGGCGAGTTCAGTTCAAATTGAACAGAGGGTGAAAAACATATATTGCATTTTCACTCTCCGAAAAATCTCATTTTGTTTGCAAGATATTGTTTTATACACATGACCAAATTAATTTATAATCGTTCGGATAATTTGCATGAATAAATCACACTCGGTGTGTAAAGGCCTTAAATGTTCTCTAAACTGTCATAAAACAGTGTATCAAACATCAGGCAGTGTAGTCATACCTATATTGTGTAATAACTTTCTGTGAGGGAACTTTTAGAGGTGGATGTCTGGTTCCTATCACCACCACTGTGAACAGTTCTGACTCTAGAACGGAGCATTTCACACCAAACCACTCTGAATGAATTTGTTGACATCTTAACCACTTAATTATGCTGAAATCTTGAAAGATAAGTGGAGTCCCTGTTTAATTATAGTGTAAATTTAGGATTTGTGCCCAAAAACTGTGGTGAAACTGTCCCAGGGACAGAGTTTATACAGTAAATTGAGGCAGTACAGCTGTAGTCCCTTATTTATACATAGACTGTTTCCTACCTTAGAAGCAAGTACATATTGATTGAAAGAATAGAGGGGAAAAAATAATAATTATGGATGACCAGTTTTATCAGTGCTCCATACCATAGATGAGCTACAGCCTTTCCTAATGCAACGAAATTTCCTCTCTACACTGACCCAAAGCACTTATTTATGAATACGCACTTTTGTATCTTTAATATATCAATAAGTATGTGTGTATTTGTGTATGCATATTTTGCTTTTGTAGTTTTAACTTATCCTTTGGGGTTGTGATGTTGAGGTTAGAGAGAGAATGGATCTTAACTTCATATTCTCTGTGTGTGTGTGTGTGTGTGTTTATCTGTATGTATGAATAACAGTAAAAGAGTCTGTCTCTCTCTTCTGGGATCAGTAAAGGGTAGCAGTGGAGCTTGCACCTCAATGTGCACACGTGCGTAGCACAATATACATTTCAAACTAAAAAACTCTATTTGCACTGCCTTTAATGAGTTGCCAAAAAGAGCAAGGGCATAACAGAACATTATAAAATATGTGGGTAGATGCTGATTTACAGACCTCTCCACTGAGCCATATTCATACGGGAAATTTGCTGGGGTGAAAAAGTGAATGTAAGTTTGAAATTCATCTGGGAGTTTTGACTGAAATTGCACTGTAATGGGATCTGTAACTACCATAATAGTTTAAATAACAGATTAAAGGAAAACTCCAGCCTCATCTTCCTACTTTCAGCCTGATCTCTGTCAGCTGTATGTAGCAAACCACAGACAGTAATTTCTGAGTGTTAAGAATGGACGGCAGGGCTGAGCTGGGCTTAATTATAGTTTCTTTGGTTTAAATCTTTTACAAATTCATTTCTAAACATTTGTACTTGGGGATTTCTGTTGGATTCATATCAACATCTGCAGATGATTGCTTTAAAAAATCATCAGCATTAGTCAGATGCTCAGATTTGGCTGATACTTTAAACTGATATTTGATGACGTATTTATTGAACTCCAGAAGAGTGCAATGTTTAGGTGAAGTAGGGTTAATAAACTAAAATATCTTTTTAACTGTATTTTTAACTCTACAGAAATAGTCACAAAAAAAGTTTTCTGTTTTTTGCATACTTTAAAACGTCACTATCGTTCGCCTTGTGGTAAAATTAAATGATGTGTGGACCAACGGAAATGGTCTGGAATAACTTGGCGGGTGGGGGGTTTCTAAAAAAAAATAGATTTAAGGTAATAAGTTGTGATCCATTTATGTACATAGATGTGCCATAAATGGACGTTATCCAAAACCTGCAGCAATGAGGAGCGTCTTCAGAAGGTAACAAAGCAGGCTTAACGTCTACAGTATTGAGCTGCGTTAAGATGGAAAATAAAAACAGTAGCGGCATGTAAAATGGAAGTGTGCAGCAGTTCAAGTCTGCTTTCTTTATGTATGAATGTAATCTAGATCAGTAAACCAAAAGCAGAGAAGGCTATGAAAGGATCATACAGTCTCAAAGCATATATTCATGCTTATACAACAAGTCGTTTTGAGTAAATGTTAATACATATTTGAGTTTCCACAGCACAATTGTTCACCTAAGTGTTCTGCTGTTCTGGAGTTCAATAAATACATCATCAAATGTCAGACAAATCTAAACATCTGTGCAATATGCTTCCATGTCGTTGTGCATCCTATTAACGTCTTTAACTCCATGGAACCACCAGTGGTTCCAAAACGCACTTCGTTATATTCTTTACCTCATAACTTTAATATTTCATAAGCTACATTCAAAAGGTGCGTGTCATATATGAGTTGAACTGTCATCTTCCCAGTCAAATAGATGGGTAATGTCATTTTAAAACTTTATAATAAAAGAAGCTGAAAGTTGACCCATTTTTCCACAAATCTGAGCTATAAACTGGATCTCAGATGGTGTCTCTTCAGTGATATGCACTGTAAAAAATTATTTTTCAAAAAATACAAAGAGCGTCTAAGATTTCTGGCTTTCAGCAATAAATTAGACTGAAAGGAGCTTTCACAAAAAAAAAAAACACTAACACTTTACATTTATTTCATGCAGTTACTGAATAATTTGCCTTAAGATTTGGGCATGTAAATTCAGATGGAGAAACCGAAATATACCTTGGAAAATAAGAGTTAAATAGTGATGGCATGATACCACTTTTTCTTTATCAATACCGATACTGAAATCTCAAATATTGGCCGACCCAGACCTCGACCCAGAATCAGACTGGTGCACTCTCCTACGGGAGTGCTTGCCACAGACAGAGATCAGGTTGAAAAATGCTGGAGTATTCCATTAGGATGTTCGAGACGTTTACCCTCTATTGCAGATGTACATTTCTGTTCTGTCTGTTTATTCTTCTTCCTCTGAGTCCTCATTGTTTAAGCCACTGCAGGGTGTTAAATTGCTCAAAGCTGTTGATGCCTCCTCTGATGCCTCTCAGACCCACTCCTATGTCCTTTGGTTTTTTGAGGATGCCTTACTGTCATCTTTTGGAGTTGCTTTCAGTTTTCCACTCTCTGCCCTTGCCCATATGGGAATGTATATTGTTGCATATCAGAAACGGTTGACCTTAACACCTCATGCGTTACAAAAAACCTGCAAGTGCCATACGAGTCTGTTTCTGTCTCGAGCTAGTCTTTCTCTGTCCAGTCCCACTACCTTTAGATTTGAGTGAAAACTGCAAAAAGGACTTTTATTTTTCGACCTGTATGTACAGGCGTAGCTGAATTTTTAACACCCTGGAGTGGCTTAAAGGGGAATTCCATCACGTTGTCCAAAATTTTTGCTTGCTTCAGTGTTTGAGATATGAACAGAGACATTCAGTGTGGTTTGGTGTGAAATGTTTCAGATTTGTTTACAGTGGTGGTGATAGGAACCAGGGGTCGCCATGACTACAACACAGATATATACATTTTATTTACTATCTAAAAACATCAGTGAACCTACGTGTGTCTTCTAAGTTTTATATAGAATGTTGATCATAGTAAAATAGTCATAAGTCTGAAAAAATTACAATAAAAATGTGTTTTCTGTGGGGACTATTTTGCCTTAAAAACCCTCCATGCACCTCTCTACCATGAACACACTCTGTTGGCTTTTTTTAAAAAAACGAATTTTATTCCAAAACCTTTTCAGAACTATCGTAAAACAGTGTCTCAGACATCAGGAAGTGTGTTCATAACCAATTCAGGTAATAACTTTCTGTGAGGGAGCTTTTAGAGGTGGACGTTTGGTTCACCACCACTGTGAACAATTCTGACTCTAGAATGGAGCATTTCACACCAAACCACTTTGAATGACTTTGTTTACATCTTATGCAGAAGTTTTGAAAAATTCCCCTTCAAATGGTTACGAGGAATCCAGTGCTACAGAAAAGAGTCTCTGCTGAGAGTCAAGGTCATCAACCAGCTGAAAATGATCAATAATTCTTGTTCTGGAATAGCATGAGATTGTATGAAGTATGCATAATTTAGACTGAATGGCCGATTGTGAAAGTAGCAATATGGCAGCTGGGCCAGTTTGATAAGATAGCAGTGAGTAAAAATTGCACAATACTAGTAGCAGGCACCATTCTGTTAAAATACATACGTTACAGAGCTTTGGAGCACATGATAGAGGGA